AATGCTAGTCAGGAATAAATACAGAACCTCAAAAAATGCAAGAGGAATTTCCAAATGAATATTAACCTTTAAAATCCACTGTATCAAAATATGTATTTGAATCCAAAAATGTTTAGCTTTTTACAGGTCCACCAAGCACGATAAAATGCCCGTTCATGTTGTTCACACTTCCAACATACGTTTGAAGTGCCTTTATACATTCTAGATAATTTCTCTGGTATCAAGCACCAACGATGCATCATTTTATAAAAATTCCCTTTGAGATCATAACACAATGTAAATTTCAACCCTTTTGACCACATATTTTTCTATTGGTCCATCTGTATATTATAACCAAAATTCTTAGCCCACTTTATCATAATCCATAAGTCCTTTATAAAATGCTGTTTTATCTTCATTTGGGACTAACAGGTGGAAAAAAACCATGGAAGATTATTTCAATGCATGATTACTGTGGCAAGATTACTATATGCACAGAGATGGAAAGATTCAACACCATCCGCTATGGAGGAACGGTTGGTGAAAAACACCATCTTGGTGTTTGTTCTGACAAATCTTGCCGAGATGGATAAGCTAACTTCTTTAATTACAGAAAAAACACTATCTACATTTACTGGTGTCTGGAAACCTCTCATGGACTTTTGGTGTAAAAATGAAAAAAAAAAAATGAACTTGTGATTTATGGCTTTGATGATTAGACAGGATAGATGATAGAAAGAAAAGTATTATGATATAACTTTAGAGAGAGAGGTTAAAATGTAACTGTACAGGGAGTCCCCAGTTTAAGAACAAGTTCCATTCCCAAGGTCTGTCCTTACATCAGATTTGTATGTAAGCCAGAACAGTATGATTGTATAATACCATATAAGTAGTATTGTATAAATAATTTGAACCATTGTGTATTTAACTCAAATTTTGCTACATAAGCTCTGTTCTTAACCATGGGCCATCCTTAAACCTGGTGTCCTTAACCCGGGGACTACCTGTATTTATAACTGCTATGAAGAATAATGGAAGCCACTTCTTTATATCTTTTTTTCTTTCTTATTTTTCTTTAACTTTTTTTTCCTTCTCTTGCCCTTTTTGCTTTCTCTTTCTTTCTTACGTTATATTAGTTTGCATTCGTTTTTATCTTCTTTTTTTAAAAGTTCCAATGAAAATCACGTAAAAAAAATACAAGAGGAATTTCCAAACTTCATTTACGAACTAGTTCATTAAGGCGTCTCTCTGGTAATGTCTTGAATTGCTTCTTCCCAGGTTTCTTTCCACCTCGGCTGAGGGGCCCACGAGAAGATAAGCTGCCAATTGGCTTGAGTACTTATGTCTCCTCTCTCTTCCATTGACTCACACCTGCCCAATCTTTCTTTAAAAATTATGATTGTAATTAAAATAAAATAATAAAGAGGAGACTGGCACACTGCCAAGCCCAATGCCAATGTCCCCTTGGTTTACAAGGATGCCTGTGGGCCCCCACATGGGCGTGTTAACATAATAGGTTACCACCCAGTGTTTCATTTGGAAATGTGCCTGCTTGTCCAGGAAAACAGTGCAAGGGACCGCCTCTTCCCCATGACTTCAACCCATCCCACTCAATCACATAGAGAGGGCATGCTTCGGACCCCCGCAGTAAGAGAACTTCAATTCTCTGCAGTAGCCCCCACTCTCTGGAATATTCTGCCCCAGAGGTGAGATTGGCCCCCTCACTCCTGGCCTTCTGGAGGGCTTTGAAGACCTGGTTCTGTCACTTGGCCTCGGGTGGGGAAGGAATACTTCAAATGTGGGGATGGCTAGTCCCATAGAGGCTTGCTATCTTCAGCCCCAGATCCTTTATCATCTTCCTGGATTCTTTCTCTTTTTTAGTAATGTTTTTAAATTT